TATAGACATATATATATATATACATAGATATAGATATAGATATAGGTATAGGTATAGATATAGATAGAGGTGTAGAGATAGAACATAGAACGCAGACATCGATGCAGATAAAGATGAATATCAAGATGGGTTATCCACATTTTGTGTTTGAACCTCGGTTTCCTGTGAAAAATACTTGAAGAAGAGCTTCCTACAACTTAACAGGATGAAACAAAGTTTAGGATTTCGGGGCTTAAGGGGTTCGTGTCCGATTTGCGTTTGGTTTGCGGGTGCCTGTTGCCTCAATCCCTCTTTGTTGGCTCTTGCTACTGCTGCCAACACCAGTACAGCCGTTCGTCTGAATACTGTTGTCGGTTTGGGTGTTAAGGGTCTTCTGCTGAACATATGGCTTCATAGAGCTGCACAGTGTTGTGGTCACTGTCTTTCTAGGATGCTGCGGTGAGTTCTACAGTCAGGGGTGTGTATGCGTCCACTCTCCAGGGTCTTACGGGACTAACCACACCTTCTACGATGTAGCTACTTAGGACCCTGTGGGATAGCACCGTGCAGCCCTACCTTCTACTATGCAGCTATTTAGGGCTCTATAAACCCTAAACCCCAAACCCAAAGCCCTAGACACTAAACCTCAGACTCAAGTAGCTACTTGGGTCCCCTTTGGCTGTTTGTCGGGTAGGACCCGCAAATCAAGGAGGGTCCTGCGAGCTCCAGGAATGTCACCACGAACTGCCGCCACAAGATCTCCGTACTCACTAAGGGTTCAGGGTTTAGGGTATAGGGTTTAGGTACTCACGAAGGGTTCAGGGTTTAGAATTCAATCCTAACCTACATTATCGAACATCGCAGTAGTACTCCTCGCAGCCCGGCGCATCATCCGTATCGCAACCTTAACCTGCATGGTAGTCGATACTGTCATCATATCATATGCAAAGATCACCGTTCTCTGCCTCCTCCTGATCCCTCATGAGCAGCCGTTGCACTGCCACGCTTATCGTCGAAGCCGACGCCATCAGCAGTACTACTATCGTCATCTTGAAATGCATCATCACGGTGAACATGATTCCGCTCATCACCATCGACATCGTTAGTAAAAGTACCATCGTCATCACCACCATCGTCACCATCACCGTCGCCATCACCAACACCATCATCATCATCATCAACAACAACATCATCACCATCATCATCAACATCATCACCATCATCACAATCATCATCAACATCACCATCATCACAGTCACCATTATCACCAACATCACAATGATCATCATCATCATCATCGGCGGCAGCACTATAGCCAGGAGACAATTGTCGCCATCATCATCGACAACAGCAGAAACATCGGCATGTCCAGATTTCTGGTAGTTGCTACTAGTGCTGTCAGTATCATTGATGCAGTTCGTGCTCATGTTGCGCATCTCGATGGTTTCATCGTCCATATAACCGTCGGTTTTGAAGAGAAGGACAGCAGAACTAGTGGAGGTGGATGAATCTGTGCTCCCTGCCCCGCCTCCCCTCCAACACCTCGTTTTCTTCTGCAAAGCGCCGAGCTGTACAATCGCGACAACCAGGGCGTCGGCTCAAAGTGTTTACGTGTGAAGTTTGCTCTCGCTTCGGTCATTCAGGTTACCATCGGGTTTAGGGTTTAGGGTTTAGGGGTTTAAGGTTTAGGGTTTAGGGTTCATGTCACGAAGATAAGATTCGCAGCGCATAAGGGCCAACAGGATAAAGCAATACGCTCCAATCCTCCTCCTCCTCCTCCTCAACATCATCATCAATAACAACCAAAACAACACCCAACTGCAGATTCCACCGCCACCATCATGACCGTTACTATCGTTGTCATGAGCACTGCCATGCACCTCACACCCTAACGCAAAAGGGTTTTCGGGTATGTCCGAATAATGAACCTCAATAAGGGAAAACCCTAAACCCTAAACCCTAAACCCTAAACCCTAAACTGAGGAGTCCCTAAACCCTGAACCCTAAACCGTCTATGTCAGTCTGAGGCTTCCTTGTCTTGGAATCATGTCTGCGAATTTTTGGGGGGAGGCGGAGTTTTGCCTCAGACTTTAGGGGTTTGGGTTTAGGGGTTCGGGCTAAAGGGTCTAGGGAAGCAGGGCGGTCTAGGGGCAGATGCATGACCAGTAAATAGCCAGTAAACGACGAAAGGGTCACAGCTTAAGGGTGGTTCTCTAAACTAGGATCCCTTTGAGGCTCCTGGTTAGAAGGCTGCCGTACTACAATGGGGACCTAAAAAGGGCCCCGAATTTAGAGAACTGCGCATGAGATAAATAACTGTTTTTCTGACCTTCAAGCTCGAACAAACCATCACCGACACGTGAGAGTCAAAGATGGTTTCCTGCGACTCATGGCATATGCAGTAACAGGATCGCCGATGCTGTTCGCAAGCAGTGGCAGGTTGCATAAGTAGCTGACCCTGAACCCTAGACCGTAAACCCCTAAACCCTAAACCCCTAACCGAAACTGACTTGTGCATTCCCTTCTTCCGGCTTCCCTGACGAGCAAAAAGTGCCCAGACCATAGCCCAACCGGCCAGATGTGGCATATGTACATCATCCTAGTCCCTAAGCCTCAAGCCCTTAACCCTAAACTTTAAACTCTAGGTAAGCCCTAAACCCTAAACCAGCCCTAAGCCCTAAACCCGAAGCTCTAAACCTTAACCCCTAGGCCTAGGCTGCACTGCTTCCCCTGATTTCCAATGCGAAGCTGACCATGGGTGGAGTTTGAAGACCAACAGCCTGAAGTTAGGGCTTAATTAGGGTTAAGGGTGCCCTGGGAGTTCGAGGCAGATTCAATGAATCTTTGCAACGAACATAGCGCTTATGTCTTGTTGCACTGTTCAAAGTGGGTCCGTACACTCTACCATTATGGAATTAGGTCCCAAAAGACCAACCTTGGTCTTGGGGACCCAATTCCAGAATCGTAGTATATTTGGACCCTCTTGGTAAGTGAACCTATGTCAAGGAGCCTACCACTTTCACGAATTACTCGATACCTAGATTCTCGGAGGCCTCAAAAGGTGGGATGAAGGTAGGTAGGATCAAGGATCCCTTATGAATGAGTATAAGGACTGCGTTCACCCTACCCTCCCTAAACAAAAAACCCGAAACTCCGAACCCCAAACTCTAAACCCTAAACCCTAAACCCTAAACTCTAAGCCCCAAATTTTAGGAGCCCTTTGATATCATGGGGCAAACATGCCTTCGGGGTTTTGAAACGCCTAAAGCGAGCGAACAGCCATCGACCAAGTGCCCGGATGCTTGGCAAGATCTGGTGGAACGATGCCTGGCAGTGGGTTTAGGGTTTAAGTTTAGGGTTTAGGGTTTAGGGTTTAGGGTTTAGGGTTTAGGGTTTAGGGTTTAGGGTTTAGGGTTGGGTTTAAGTTTCGGGCTTTAGGGATTAAGGGTCCAGGGAGCTCTGGCGGAACGACGCCTGCCAGTGGGCTTCTGTGACGGGTCTACAAGGGGTCAAGGTTTAGGGTTTAGGGTTTAGGGTTTAGGGTTTAGGGTTTAGGGTTTTTAGGGCTTAGGAGCTAGACGGTTGAGGGTTCGACTGGAACGATGCCTGGCAGTGCATGGGACGTGGATCTGAAGACCGTTATGGTTTAGGGCTTTGCGCATCAGGCACAAGTAAACCAAAGACCTAAACAACAACAAACCCTAAGGCTCCATGTACCTTTATAGTAGATACTTAGGCCGGAAAGGGGTCCCTATATAGCTACTTTAAGGCCTAAGTATCTACTATATGGGTACATGGAGCCTTAGGGAAAAGTAACTAAGGAATTCCTGGTAGGGTTTGCTGGATTCTAAGAGAGCAGTGAGCAGTGTGAAGGCATTGCCAAATGGCGGAGGCTTACTATGTAGGACCCTTTGAGAACAAGCACTCCAAAGCACGATGCAGAGTGCCTTCCAGTTCGTGTTTGCGCTCCTCCGCACTCCGCTCAAGAGCGTCGATGACCTCCTGACAGTGCATGGGCCCGAAAACTAAACCCTAAACCCTGAACC